CTTATTTAGTGTTTCTTAATAGTTTAGTATTTTAGATGAAGAAAAGTTCATATGACTTGTATTAATGCCAGTTGAAGTTTGTATTAGTTTAATTTTTATATACACAACAAATATTGTCTACAAGGTTATATTAGTGAGATACAACTAATTACATCATTGGACCTCATCAAATTAAAATAAATATAATATTATTACATTTAACTAATAAAAAATTTCATTGACCATCTTCATAGGTTCGCTTGAATAAGAGATATATATGATGATACACATTGAACATTCACAAAAGAATCTGCAATATTATTTTGTACTAAGTTTATTATATAAATCTTTGCTTAAATAAACAATAGTATTTATTAGAACATATATTTTTGGAATTGGTAATCACGTGCAACGCACGTATCAAAAGACTAATAAAGTTAAAAAGTCTTTTTTGAAATTGAGGGTTGAATTATGCATTCTCTATTAATATATATTTTGATACATAGAATATCCGGACCATTGACATGAAAACACATTTTGATAGTCTAATTTAATGGTATTAAATGTCTATCAGGATTTAAAGAAATATTCTTTGTGGACTCTTCCTTGTGGTGGACAAAAGTAGTGAAAAAGAAAAGATTTAACCGCCTATATTTCATTTATCAAAAGTGTTGGAATATAGACTATTAATCATGTGTTTAGATATAGTAATTATTATAGAATAATTATTTATTCAATTTTAATAGATCATATGGTCGTTTATAGTGTATGTTTACTTATATAGTAGATGATTTAGGATATAGAGTTTAAGCTTATACACAGAGGATTAAATCATAGGTTCTTATAAGTATAAAGTTTTTTGTTCACAATCTAAGATGGGAATTGGACATGTCATCGGTACGATTGTAGCATAAGATTATATGTAGTTTATCTTGATTATGGGAATGATATAGTTCCAACTTCTTGTGCTAGTTCTTTTTATATGTATTGAACGAGACTGAGTAGAGATAGTTGTTTTAGACTGACTGACAAAAGCAGATTCTCTAATCTATTAAATGTACTTATATTCTTAATGCTGATATCTGTATATGTTAATTATTGTTTTGATTTATTAAAAGGTGAGATTCTAAGATGGCAGTATACCTGGTAGATTGGATGATGATAATATATATAGATTGGTGAAATAATAAATTAGTTGATGGAATCCATGTCTCGATATAGAGATTGATGATATGCCTTTTTGAGAAGCTTAAAAGTTTTCATCGTGTCAAACCTTGCAAGTGGATTTATGAATCCGACATATGAAATAAGTTAAGCAGTCATCTAAATGAGATTGATCATTGAATTAAGTTTGTCAGTAATTTAATTTATTGATTAGTATATGTAATCTTAACATGAGGAATTACATATGTGTTTAATGGGTAATTTCAAAATATAAATAGAAGAGCGCAATTAAGAATTTCTAGTGGAATGATTTGTAAGTTATTATGGTAAGAATAATTCAAATTAATTATTTGACATAATTTCCAATATAGGAAGGCTCAGTAATTAATTTTGTGGTCCCTACCGTGCCCATATTTAACTAGAACTCAGAAACAATTCTAAAGGGAAAAGGGAGAAGTATGTGTCTTTCTCTATTCTAAGGAAAGGAATAAATATGTGTCTTTCTCTATTCTAAGGCAAGGGAGAAGTATATCACTTTTTCTATTCTAAGGAAAGGAAGAAGGACATGACTTTTCTATTCTAAGGAAAGGGAGATATACATATCTTTTTCTATTCTAAGGAAAGACATGGTATTCCTTCTCCTTGGACTACGAAGAAATCTCTATAAATAGGAATTCTTTTAAACCTTGAATTGATATAACTTTTTTATAAAATACTTGTCCACCCAAGTATTGAGTGAGTTCGGAAGTAAACTTGGGATCACTGTAGAAGACCGTAGAACTCTGGTCCAGTTTGTGGACTAACTTGTGAATTTTCTTGAAAGTTCTAGCTTGTCGACTAGCTTGTGGATTCACTTGAAGATATTTGCTCATGCTTCAAGAGGTAATTCTTGAATTAAATTGCAGAAAGTTTATGTGGTCTAACAGGATTGTACTTGTTCTAGAATAAACTATGTGTTGTCTATTATTCATGTAAGTTCTATGATTCCGATATGCTTCTGCTGTGTATATAATTTTCCAACAATTGGCATCAAAAGCCGTCTTACATCTTTATAGATAACATAAAATATATGTATGTGAAATTGTATGTATGATTCTTGGTTGGTAAACATATTTTTATCGTGAAAAGAACGAATCAGATGAAACTTGAAGGTTTTTGATTCATTGGCTAAAGTACATACGCTCTTAAATTGTGAGATGATCAAGAGGGGAAAACGTGTTGGCGACAGTTTTTCACTTTCATGTGGGAATGGACAGCAATAGTAAACACTTGACCTAATGATTATTTGAAGTCCTTTATTTATAAATTAATGGAACCCAAATTGAAAACTTTTTATCAGTTAAAAGAAAAGTTAAAGTTCAATGAATTTTTTTTATTTAATAAATGAAAGTACGAATTTCTGCACATGTAATTGATTTTTTGTTTTCGGCGGCTAGTTGCAATTTTTGTAGGGTTGTTTCTTATTAATCCATCAAATTCGCAAAGCTTGATAATGAGATGATCAAGAGGGCAAAACGTGTTGGCGACAATTTTTCACTTTCACGTGGGAATGGACAGCAACAGTAAACACTTGTCCTAATGATTATTCGAAGTCTTTTATTTTTAAATTACTGGAACCCAAATTGAATTTTTTTTATCAATTAAAAGAAAATTTAAAGTTCAATGGATGTATTTTATTTAATAAATGTCAGTACGAATTTCTGCACATGTAATTGATTTTTTGTTTTCGGCAGCTAGTTGAAATTTTAATAGGGTTGTTTCTTATTAATCCATCAAATTTGCAAAGCTTAATAAGAAAGGGAATCATAGAGGTTGTTGATGAACAAATAATCATTAACTGATTGTGAAGTATTTTTTTAACTTTATAAAATTTGTTCTTGAATAATTGTTGACTCCAAACCTTATTAAGTGGCGGTGACAGACACTATTCCGGTCAATTGGATTATTTTATTTCTTTTTGTTCAATAATTATTTGAGCATATTATTCATTATATATATATATATATATATATATATATATATATATATATAAACTAAGAATTTTTTGGTTGATAAATAGTTATCACTAAGTGGTTTATTTATTTGAAATCGTTGAAAATTCTTTATACTTTATACATGTGATAATATATTTTTGTACTACATGAATTGAGAATTATGATTAATAAATAGGATTCACTAAAGTGATCTATTTATTTGAGCCATTAGAAGATCCTCAATTCATCTTGAATAAATTATTCTAAGTGAATATTAGTGTCAAATATTTATTTGCATAAATGGTGATTTACCTTAAAATACTAGCGATGCTTAATTAATTCATGAGTAGAGATATCGAGGTTTTCACTCAAAAAGAGAGAAACATAATATCTTGGATTCTCAAATGTATTAATTTAGAGAATAATTTATTATAAGAAGGTATTGAGTGTCTTAGCCAAAGGAAGGACACAATGTATGTTTCATGCTCATGAGATAATTATAAAAATAGAATGAAAATCCGAATGATGTTATTTTAATCTTAAACTAGGTCTAAAATGATTATTTTTCAAATTCGGTCATAGTTTAGGTGGTCATGAATTTTCTGAACTATGATTGACTCGAAATTTGATGGTTCCATCAAAAATTATTTAGATGGGTTTTAGGTAGTTTGTCGGATTAAAATTTGATAAAGTCATATTGTTTTAATTCCTAAAGATACTTAAACCACTTGAATTTGAATTTGGTCATAGCTTTGAAAATATTTTTTATAGACTCCAATTGACCTGAAATTTGGTAAGTTCATTGGTGACAGACTAGTAAGAAATCCTCATTGCTATGTGGTTATAGTTTTGAGGCCCTTAAAATGGTTTTTTAAGTCACTCTTTGGAATTAAAATGTGATTTAGTATGAATATAATCCTTTATATCAGTTTTATTTATGTTAAATGTGGTACATGATTACACATGATGAGTTAACATGAATTGATATATGATAAGGATATGGATCTGATTATTTTTCTTAAATCGTTTCAATCTGAATTTAATCATAACTTTGGAGATAAAATTATTTTTAAACTCTAATTGATCTAAAATCAGTAAGTTCATCAGAAACGGTCAAATTAAAAATATTCATAGTTATAAAGTGATTTGGAAATTTGAGGTTTTTTAGATGAAGTTATTTTTTTTTAGATATTTTTGAATCTTGAAAATTAATTTAAATGAAAAATTACTTGATTATGATACAAAGGTGATAGAGTGTGTTCTCTATGGATGACTAAATTCTAGTGAAGTATTAAGTTCACGTGTTGGCTTAGACCTTCCTCCATGTCGGATGAAATTAGTACAAGTCACTAGATTTAATCTCTAGTTTTGATAATTTGTATTGACTCTCCCTATCTGAGTAATATATGGTTGGATCAATGGATCTAGGGATAATGATATTCACTTGGTTTAAATTAACAATATACTCTCCATCTGAGTTAGCTCTGGTTCTTCATTTATTAGAGTGAATATCTGACACCATATATGTATGTTGCATGAGTGATTATTTTTTCTTCAAAATTTGTTGTTCAAGATGCATAAATATCTATAAGGTATGTTTTGAATTTTAATATTCAATGTATACATAAATATGCTGATTTTAAAAAAATAGTATTCAGATAATGTAAATAGTTTTAGAATTTTGTTCTTTGTTCTTGATTCGTGTATCTATTTCACAGATGATGATATGTGATAAGAAATTTCGAACGGAAAAAATTCGGGTATGCTTCCGTTATGCATATAGTTTTTCAACAAAAAGATGTTTACTAGATAAACATTTCCATTATAAACCTTGTATGCATAACATTTTTGTGAGTAAAAAACAGAATTGTTTGTTTTATGTAGGTTGGGCTTCAAATAGTATAATATCACTGCTCTGCTCACCAATTTGGAATGTTGGCAGTTGCTTTGTTTACCATCTTCACGAGAGTTACCTACAATGTCAATTGTTATAAGTCAAAAAATAAAATCAACAAGTAATTTAATAAATGGTCTTTCAGAAATCCGACATACTAGGAGGGGAATGCTAAAAAATGAAGTATATAATATTAAGTTGAACAAGTAACGTACACAATAGGTGAAACCATACAAGACATTAAACTTTACATGTGTCAAAAGAATAGTAATGGTGGAATGAGGATATGCAAAACCTACTAAAGCAAAATAAAAAAAATGGAGACGCCCTAAATGTGATCAGACAAGATGACACCCAACCTGAGGTAAATCTTTGACTTGTACCAAGATGCCACAAAAACATACTAGAGAATGAAAGGGTAAATCATGAGGATGGGAATGCGATTTTGATCAACTCTTGAGGATAAATCTTCATTCATTTGTCATCCATACAAACCTAGATACACACCTAGACTTAGATATACTACTCAAGAATGACATAAAAATAAGAGGGATAAAAAAAAGGGAAAATGGTATAAAATAGAAAACTATTAATTCAAATTAAATGTTATAAACACTGTTTCATTTAATTCTAATTTGTCGCAAACTGTTTTGCCAGTCGCCTCTCTCCCAGCAAATCTTGCTCACCTCGCCTCTCTCACTTTATACAACACAAATGTATAAATTGTGTTTTTGTTTGTATAAAACGAGAGAAAATTGTATATACACAAATACAAATACATATATTTTCGTCCTATACACTTAAAATTATACAAATACAAATCTTTCCCTGCCCAGTTTTCTTTTGTCTTTCTTTCTTTCTCGTTTTATACAAACACATATTATACAATTGATTCGTATATGTATACCGAAATATACATATTAATAACCATATTCGTATATGTATACTGAAATATACATATTAATAGCCATTCGTATATGTATAGCGAAATATACATATTAATAGCCATTCGTATATGTATAGCGAATTATACAAATCACAAGCTCTATAACAAACATAAAATTCTCTATGGAGCGCAATTATGCAAACTATAGCTATAACATACAAATATGTTTTTTATTTTTACTATATGTGAAAGTTGCTCATAAAAAAAGGCATGTAGTTTATATGGTATATAGGATAATGCATTATTGAGGTTATAGTAAAATGGCTAATTAAGTTGTTTAATATTTCATTAGGACAAAGGAGGCCAAACAAGTGGAGAAGAATGCATCCATGTCGATACATAAGAAAAAATTACAAAGTTAGTCGACCAAAAGAATAAAAATTAATGTTTCATGGTGCATGAAATTGCTATCTGCAAATCGTATCGTAATTATTGAAAAAATTAGAAAGGGAGTTAACCAAAATCTGGTATTATGGAGATGAATACTAGAGATCATAGTTTTTAGGATAAGTAGAAATAAGACGGAATATGGACTACAAGTTTAACATTATAAGAAGAACAAGAAAAAGTGAGACCAAATGATGTTATATATGGTGCCTAAATGTTGGAAACTCAAATATTAACTTCTAATTCTTCATAAGCATGGCATGAAGATAAAGGTGAAATACATATTCAACAAAGGATGGATGACACAAAGAATGTTATGGGAGTGCAATGCAATGGGATTATGACAAACTGATTGGTAAGTTCAAGAATGATAACGAGACCCGTAAGAATCCAATATATACTTCTGTTCTGTTGGGACAAACTATCCCCCGGTACCTTCCCCGAAAAATATTTTTATTTTGTTATCTCCATCCACATAGACTACTGCTTCTTTTGTTTCCAAGAACTAATATTCTAAATAGTTTTTAAGTATAGACTTTTTTTGTTGCTTGTCAGCTTCCTACTTTGGCATAGATGATAGTAATGAAGATGACACTTAGCATCTTCTTGATACCAGCAATGAATCTACTTAATAAAAAAAACCTCAACATTGAAATGAAATGGACCTGAAAAACAAATTATTAGTGTTTCTGTAAAAGATAAACTCATAATGGATATGTTATTTCCAAGTGAATCATTAATAATATTGTATATAATATCAAAACAATTTTGTTATAATGGTTAGAATTTGGGATTGAGGGAAATGTTTCATTTTCTTTATTTTATAAGGTAAACATATTTCATTGTATACCAAAAGGTTAAGAATCTACAAAAAAGACATGATTCTCTACAAACTCCACTCGTTCTTCTTGATATAAAACTGAAATGTGAAAGTTGAAACCATAACACTAAGAACAAGAATTAAAAATAGAAGGATAGAAAAAACACCAGATGGAGATTAATTGAAAACTATAGCAATAGAAACCTTAAACCCGCGATTAATAGAATCCAACAAACACCTAACTAGAAGATAACCTTCAAGAGGAAAGCGTTGTCAAGCCAGCAATTTATAAACATGAAATAGCAATAAAGGCCATAGCCCCAACTCTCTCTAGACTCTAGAGTATCACTCATAATCTCAATATCACAAAAATAATCTACCTACTAAAATGACATATTATAGTATTTATACTAGAATAGGCTAAGACTAAAGAAATAATGGTGATGATTAAAAGAATACCCTTAATGAGTTAACGATCTTCCTAGTCTTATTAGTCAAAAGTCTTGTGTTGTTTTAAGAATAACCTATTTCTCCCTTCTCCCTTCTCCCTTGTACTTCCACTTTAGTATGTTCTTGAACTTTAACTCTTCATTCCAAGAACCCTCCAAGCTTCCCGACTCGACGAAAAGTGTACCAACTCCATATCTTGGCTTCCTGCGCAAGGTTAAACTTGGCTTGCATCACTTCTCAACAACAAAGAACTTTACGAGTGCACCAAAAGAAAATAAATGACTGGACACCTTTTCTAAGAATAGTAAAAATAGACTCTATCCCCTCAAAAGCTCTATTATTTCTCTCCCCAAACAACCCACATCAACACAAGATGAGCCATGTTCCATGCCCTACATCTTCTCCTCTTTCTCCCACTCCTCCAACAAAACATCAAATCTTTCAAAGATTTTGGCCTTTCCCAAGAAGTTTAAAACCACCTAGACAAATCCCAGCATGACCTCATTGTAATATCATAATGTAGAATAAGATGATCGACGTCCTCTCCCGCTTCCCTACACATGATCCACCATCTGATGCAAACAATCTTCCGTTTTCTCAGATTTTCCGCCATCAAGATCACCACTCTAGCAGTTGGGCAAGAAAAAAAATACACCTTCTTCAACATTTGTGGAATCCATACTACATAACCTAGAAACTTAACCTTCTCCCTAATAAAAATAATTCATAAAAAAAACTTAACTAAGAGAAATCCATTGTTCCCTAAACCCAACACAAAGCATCGGGATTATCCACTGGAGTACCTTTCCTAAAAAGTAGCGCCAACAACCTTTGAAACTCATTTACCTCCCAATTGTGGAAATCCCTTCTAAATGTAAAATCCCAAAAGTTCCATTTTCCTTGTGTTCCCCTAATTAGGTGTAGCGTCAAGTTTCCTTCACATGATATTAAGAACAAAATCAGGAGATCATCGTTCAGTAATATCACCCCCACACCACCTTTGTCCCTAGAAACTAAACCTCCTCCTATATATATCCTACCTTAAATGAGATGTTAGCACTAAAATAATCTCATCCCTTAAAAATATTCCTCCACAAGCCACACCCAAAGGGCATATATTGTGAATAATGAATTAATCAAAATACTTTTGATGATGACAACATGAACAAGGTTCACATAACACATACCAAACTTAATATGAACAGGCGGGAAGAGTTCACTTATTCAGAGATAAAAAAAGCAAAAGCGTGTCCAAAACAGCAAGCCAAATTAAAAGAGGAAAACAATAAAAGCAGAAGACTCCTAGACCAAAAATGAAGAAGGTAAACAAGTTCTATAAGGAAATTGATTAGATATCTAGGAAAAATTATTTCTTTCCATGTAGAAGTTGATCAAGGAAAAAACCAACCTCTATAAAAGGACAGAAGAAAAGAGAGAAATAGTTGCCTTTGAGAAATAACAAATTAAGAAAAATTATTCCAAGCAAAGGTCGAATCATCAAGGAGATCAAGAAAGTGAAAGAAAGAAGTACTAAAGTTAGGATCTAGTACTTCTTTCTGAAGTATAGTGTTACATTGGTTTGTCTTGAATCAGTGTTTAAGATGTGTATTCTAAGAGAGAAAGAGAGTGAGTTCGAGAGAATTATAACAAGAAGCGAGTTTGACTTTTTTGAGAGTAGAGTCTTCGATTATAGTTAATCGATAGAGAGTAAAGGTACTAGAGTTAGTTCATTGATTATTGAGTTGTAATCTTGAATTGTGCTTAAAGGTAATAAAACTGCGGTGTGGTTTTTTCCTTTCTTTGAGGGACGAAGGTTTCCGTGATAGAATCTCTATTTTATTGTGTTGCAATTGTTTATTTTGGTAAATGTACAAGAACCTGGTTCTTGTATAGGGGTAAGCTTTATTTAATTGTATCAGAGTAGGTCTTTACATTAGAAGACTCGCATCTTGAAAAGGATCAATGGTTGCACCACCTACACCACAAGAAGGAACTTCCCAAACTTGACAACCATTGTTCAATGGAAAGTCTATGGATGGTGGAAGAACCGCATGATGGATCACTTTATAGAAGAAAATTCATACCTATGGGGAGTTTTCTTGGATGACTAACCATACCCATGAAAAAGGGAACTTATAGAATCACTAAGATACCAAAGGAAAGGAAGGAATGGGATGCTGGGAATAAACTTGCAATTCAGAACAATGCTAAGGCTAAGAAGATTTTGATATGATTTATAGGTCCAGATGAGTACAATCGGATCTCATTATGTCAGGATGCAAAATCAATATGGAAAATACTACAAACCACTCATGAAGGGACAACTCAGGTAAAGAAGTCTAAAATTGTCAATTTGAATAGGCAATATGTGAGTTGTTTTGAATGGTAGAAGGTGAAACAATTCAAGATATGCTTACCAGGTTTACTGCAATCATTAATGAAATCTACTCATTAGGAGAAGTAACTCTTAACAGAA